AAGGACGGGGACAGTGACGATGCAGAGGCAGAGAGAGAGCCGCCCAGCCCCGGGAGTGACCCTCGGCCTGGCCCTGCTTGCAGGGTGGACGCCCGCCCAGCTTCCGCCTGCCCCACTGGGCCACTCACTGCCCCCGGGGCTGCCTCCATTTTCTCGGGTGGTGACAGCTCCGGCCCAGCTCAGCCAGGCCTGTCCTCCTCACCTGGCTCGGCTCCTCACTGAGCCTTCCCACTTGCTTGCGCCAGCACAGGGCTTCCCGGGGCCTGCGGGCCGGCCTCCCCTCCCACTCCCTCCACGGTTCTCTGGCAGGGCTGGTGGCATGGGCGTCCCCGGCCAGTGTCGGGAGGGCAGGGAAGTGTGGGTCGGGCTGACTGTCACTCCCCCGCATCCTGGGCTCTGGCCCCCGGTAAACTTCTCTGCGGCCACCAGTTTGGAAAAACACCTAGCTGATTTCTGGTTAGGAATGGTGTGGTCGGAGTGTTCCCGAGTTTGCTTGAACCTGCTGGAGAGCTGTCTGCGGGTGGGCACCGGAGTCAGTCCGCACCAGGGAGATTCAAAGGTGAGCCGTGTGCTGCGGGCTCCTCGCCCGAGGAGCTCACACTCTGGTGTGGGAGATAAGACAAGTACACAAATAACCTCGATACCAGGAGGAAGGTGATAAGTCCCGAGAAAGATCTACACAGTGCTACAAAGGCACCCAGAGCTACCGGTTGTCTGTGCCTAGCAGAAACCTGGAAGACTTCCTGGGTGAGGTGGTGCTGAGCAGGGAATTGAAGGCCCAGCCGATAGAAGAGGGTTGCAGAAGACACGTCCCAGCCCAGCCCAGTGCGCACAGAGCGGGGAGACGTCCAGCTAGAGAGGCGGAGACTCGGCAGAAAACACACACCCTGTGGGGCTGCCACTGCGAGATCCAGCAGCCCAGCCTAGTGCTCACAGAGTGGGGAGATGTCCGGCTAGGGAGGCGGAGACTTGACAGAAACCACACACCCTGTGGGGCCGCCACTGCGTGATCCAGCAGCCCGGGCCAGAGCACATGGAACAGGGAGAAGTCTGGCACGGGAAGTGGAAGCTCAGCAGAGACCACACACCCTGCAGTACCGCCCCATGATCCAGCAGCCCAGCAGAGTCCAAGCTGACCAGAGAGGTGGCTCCCTGGAGAGGCCCAAGACCCAAGGCAACCACACACACAAGGTACTAGAGGCCAACTGAGCAGTCACGGAGGTAGCCATACCAAATTGGCAACCACGGCAACATCTTAGTTACTTAATAGTCTCAAACCGGTGGACTGTGAAACCCCCTGCCACAATGAATAAACATCAAAAAAAA